TCAGATTGGTGGAGAATGTGTGTGTGTGTATATATATATATATATATATAGCTACAGATCTCAAACATTGGGAGAATTTTCTCTTGCTAATCAAGGCTGGGTTTCCCAAATGAACAAAGATTGTTTTTAAAAGGTAGAACAAGCATCGCATCACACTGAACGCTCTTCCTTCCTGATAAGATCATTTTAACTATATATATATATATATATATATATATATATATATATATATATATATATGTATATATATAAATATGTATATATATATATATATATATATATATATATATATATATATATATATATATATCATTATGACCACCTCCTTGTTTCTACGCTCATTGTCCATTTTATCAGCTCCACTTACTATATAGGTGCATTTTGTAGTTCTACAGCCCCCTTTTACCCTGTTCTTCAGTGGTCAGGACCCCCATGGACCCTCACAGAGCAGGTACTGTTTGGGTGGTGGATCATTCTCAGCACTGCAGTGACACTGACGTGGTGGAGGTGTGTTAGTGTGTGTTGTGCTGGTATGAGTGGATCAGACACAGCAGTCCTGCTGGAGTTTTTAAACACTGTGTCCACTCACTGTCCACTCTATTAGACACTCCTGCCGTGTTGGTCCACCTTGTAGATGTAAAGTCAGAGACGATAGCTCATCTGCTGCTGCACAGTTTGTGTTGGTTGTCCTCTAGTCCTTCATCAGTGGTCACAGGACGCTGCCCACAGGACGCTGTTGGCTGGATATTTTTGGTTGGTGGACTATTCTCAGTCCAGCAGTGACACTGAGGTGTTTAAAAACTCCAGCAGCACTGCTGTGTCTGATCCACTCAGACCAGCGCATCACACACTAACACACCACCACCACGTCAGTGTCACTGCAGTGCTGAGAATGATCCACCACCCAAATACTACCTGCTCTGTGAGGGTCCATGGGGGTCCTGACCACTGAATAACAGGGTAAAAGGGGGCTAACAATGTATGCAGAGAAACAGATGGACTACAGTCTGTAACTGTAGAACTACAAAGTGCACCTATGTAGTAAGTGGAGCTGATAAAATGGACAATGAGCATAGAAACAAGGAAGTGTTCATAATGTTATGCCTGATCGGGGTATAGCCAACATTTTTTTTTTATGCAGGACAGTATGTGCATTTTTATAGCCTAGTTAATTAAGCACTCTAGATTTGTCCCTGACAGATATCAAGTTTGGATAAATTTGTTCAATATAACATTTCTGAAATCTCAAAGAGCAATGAAAGACAATGCACTACGGTAGCAAACCTTCTGAGGATGAGAGGTGTAACGAGCAGTAAGTGGTAAGGACTGTAACTGTAGTGATAATTGGCAAAGTAAAATAAAGAGCTTAGCTAAATAAGATTAACGTGTAAACTACTCAAATGATGATTTTGTTGCTTTTTGTATATCTGCAGGCTGAAAGTATCCCTTATTTGATTGAGTTGTATGCTTGGAAATAACTTGTACACACAAAACTAAAGTAAAATTTTACTGCTGGAGAAGAATGTTTTGAGTCCTGAAAGTGATCTCACAATGCTCAAGTGTACAGTAAAGGAATGGTTCTGCGAATAATCAGATTCACAGTTTTTCACTTACATGCTTGGTGTCCCAAAGCTTTATTACACACTCTGTAACCTAAAATTAGCTTAGCCAGTTTGCATTGAAGTCCCTATAGTTACTCAATAGTAAGCCTTAGTGTGTAATAAGCCTGGAATTTTAAGGGGTTAAGTACAATGTTTCTCAATGCATGATTACAAAGAATTTAGAGATTTACCATCTATAGTCCATAACATTCTAAAAAAAATTGAGAATCCAGAGAAATCTCTGTTCATAAAAGGCTGAGAACCAGTACTGACCTTCGATCTGTTAGACAACACTGCACTGAAAACTGCCATGTTTCTGTAATACTTCTGTTTTAACCACATGGACATGAAAATACTTAAGAAAACACTTGTGAGTGGACAGTTTGTTGCTGCATCTACAAATGCAAGTTAAAACTCTCCTAAAGAATGCAGATGTCATATATCAACAACATTGATGAACACCGCCAACTTCTCTGGGCTAAAGCTCACCTGAGCTTGACTGATGCAAAGTGGCAACGTATGCTGTGGTCTGATGAGTCCATCTTTCAAAATGATTCTTACTTGCACATCTATAAAGACACCATTAATGCTGAGGGTTGCATACACATTTAAGAGCCACATATGCTGCCATCCAGACAACATCTTTTTCAGGGACATCCCTGATTGTTTCTTCAAGACAATGGCAAGCCACATTCTGCATGTTACAACAGACATTTCACAGTAAGAGGGTGCAGGTGCTAGACTGGCCTGCCTGCAGTCCAGACCTGTCACCCATTGACAGTGTGTGGCATGTTATGAAGAACAATACACGAAAATGGAGACCCTGGACTGTTGAGCAGCTGATGTTTTATATCAAGCAAGAACGGGGAAAAGAATTACAGTTTCACAACTACAACACTTAGTGCCCTCAGTTCCCAAACAATAACTGAATGTTGTTTAAAGGAAAGTTTATGTAACACAGGGGTAAACATGGCCCTGTCTTCAGTAGGAAATCACGGGTAACATACCAGACCATTTCTTTGCTCTGTTTTTGTGATATGGAACACAACACCTTATTTCTGTAGATTTATCATTATCCTACATGCAACTTCTGACTCTCCTACAGTAACAAGCATATTATTAATGTGTATTAATGTATATTAATACATTACATGAATATTAATGGGCTAATACTATGTACCTGTGCAGTGACGTTTTTACAGTGACTAGAACAGTACCAGAAAGTAGGACATTATGTAGATTACACTGTTTTATATCCATGCCATTTTACTGAAATAATTATTATTTTAAGCAAATATTTGAAGACTGCATGTATTTGTGGAAACTTTGATGACTATTTACTTCTAGTGTTTGTTAGCACTGTTAGCCTAGCAGCTTCAGTTCTAAACTAAAGAAGCAAAACTTGGACACCAAACTGGTCCTTTAAGCCTTGGGTAAATTGTAATTGTTCAGGTGCCCAGTTACCAGCTGTTGAGAACATTTACTGTAAGCGCTGCCTGGGCAGGGGGAGGAACATCATCAAGGATGTTCCTTATCCTAACAATGGACTGGCAGGCATTACAGAAGCCTCCGCTCCAACACCAGCAGACTTAGGAAGAGCTTCTTCCCTGCACAGTCACTGTACTTTATATCCTAGTATTATTGCATTATTTATATTTGCACAGTCTATTACTGCACTATTCATATTTGCACCAACAATTACTGTACAAGTTTACTCTGCATATTTTTACATATGCTCCTCCCACAGGACATGCTACCTCATAGGACACACTTCCTCATTGTATGCTCTCCACTCACTCTGTACATATGTATATTATATTTATACTTGCATATCTGTATATTTTTTTAACCACTATACCGTCCCTCTGCACTCTATTTTTAAATAATACTGTATTTTGCACTGGTTAGATGCTAACTGTATTTCATTGGCTCTGTGCCTGCACTCAGCACAATGATAATGAAGTTGAACCTAATGTAATCTAATCTAATGCCAGTGGTCATTCAATAGAAATTCTCTTCAGTCCAGGCTTATGCTGCATTTTGCCCTCCATTGATTTCAATGGAGACAGTTGGCAGTTGTGTGCAGATGACTGTGGAAGAGGCAGTGTAGGAAGCAGGAGTGATAAGTTGAGAATTTCTTAAATTTATGCAACTGAGAAGCAAATTTCAGAATAGTAAAATGTCTAACAATTGCTGAGAGAAGTGATTTGCTTTATTGAAATTTAAATGGAGCATCATCTGAACTGGTCCTAAATGGCTGGAAGAGATCACTAGCTGATGGTTTCTTGGGGAAAAACCTCAAACCTTAGTAAGGCAACTACCAAGTAATAACAGTTAACCTGGACTCTTATAAAGCTATTGGTCTAGTACACATCTGTTTGCAGCCTGCAGCTGACTTACTTGCACTTTGATGCTTTATGAAGTTCTGGCCACATCAGGGGCCTATATTTGTCTACAGGATGTCTGCACGACAGCTCAACTTCGCCTTATAGGTCTCTGAGGTTTTTACATGATGTCCCTGCAGTGAGGTGGTAACAGAGTTTCATGAGACTACAGCTTAAGCCTTTAACCTGTCTACCCAACCAAAAGCAGAACAGTGAGAAAAAAAACAACAACAACAGTTTATTTTTCTCACCAATGTCTGAAACTACATTACTACAATGAAACATTTTAAAGTACTGTTTTGGTTTCTTGCACACAAAACAATCGCTCAAAAACACAATTAACAATTAGGTTAAAACACAAAAAGAATTAAACAATTTTTAAATAATCAGAATTGGCTTTTATTTTCTAAACAATTCAGATCAAGAATGCTGTTTGCTGACAGCTTCACCATAGAATGAACTGTTATGGGCTTCTAGCCATTAAGACTGCATATATGTTAAAAAGTAAGGTCGATTTCTAAAATAAACAAAACCAAGAAACCAAATAGTGAAAAATAAAGGATAACTACAGTGGTCTCTACTTAAGTGGCTGCTTAAGCAACGCTTAAGTGACACTTCACCTGCTACTGACTATACCTGTTTCACTGTCACACAACATTGCTTCAAGGCAACAAACATATTTAAGAAATATCTCATAAAAAATATGAATAAAAGTTACTGAATTAAAAAAAAAATAAACATGAGAATTGTATTTTGGATAGATAAAAAAATACGAAAAATAAATTTTCTTCTTTTGGTTTATTCAAAGTCCTCTCTTCAGTGTTAGCTCAGACACGGTTTAATTTTGCTCATCAAATTATGTTTATCAGTGTCCACACCCATATTTAACTTTACAGGTAATAACAAATACATTAACATTATTATAAAAAAGATAAGAGAAATTCTCAAACAATTACATATAAAATACAACTAATTTATCAAAATTATCTTTCAGTACAACTTGTTTCTTCATGGCTTGTTGTATTGGTCATTATAAGTGCACATATTATAAACATTGCTTAGTGGTGGCTTTTGAGGGTCCTAAACAGAGATGTCTTCAGTATGCTCTGAAATGGTGGGGCTGGTTTCAACCGGAGTGAACACGGCTGTGGTGTACTACAAAAGAGAACAAGCTCATGAGACTGTAGAGGAGAAGATCATTATAACACAGAAGAAGAAAAGGAGCTTGTTGTGTCTTTACCTGATCTGTGTGCTTTACAGGTTTTCTTGAACCTAAAAATCATAAAAACATGAACACTAATAAAGACTGTTTCAGGTCAAATCATACCTTATAATATAGGTATATAGGTAAATATAATTCAACTGTGTTTAATGGTTACAACTGAAAATGACAGAATGGCATGACATCACTCACATGTACATCCATATAGGCTCAGGAGAACGATTAACATCACAATAGTAACCAGACAGAAGACACCTGAGCAGATTATAATGTAGGGCATCCATGCAGCAGCTGTATTAATCACAGGGACAGTAGGGCTGGCTGTTACAGGGAGAAACATCACTTCTAAATTGTTTCACAAGAGAAAAAGAAAATATAAAAGTGATTAATAAAAAAGTGAAATTTAATATATTGACATAAAAGTAATTTAAAGGAAAATATAAAAGTGAAAATGTAAAAGTGATAAAAGTCATTTAAATCTAGGGAATTGACAGGTTTCATTCTGAAGACTGTATTTTGGAATTTACTTATATAGAAATAATTAAGTAGGCTTGACAAAGATCTTACAGTTCTTTATTATCGTTTTTGTACCATTTTCAGGGGTCACAGTTTTTGAGTTAGAACCACAAAATTTGAGCCTATATGGGATTAGTGTGCTTGTGCTTTTGGAACTGATGGCACGTATGCTTTCGGTACAGCGTTCATTCAAACACATTTTTTTTAATAGAAAACAAATGTTGAATGTTATATATATATATATATATATATATATATATATATATATATATATATATATATATATATATACACACACACACACACACACACACACACACACACACACACACACATATATATATATATATATATATATATACATATATATATGTAACTTTTGTCAAGTCACCTTACACATTTTCTCCTTTAAGGTTTTACTAATTATTGTAAATAATGTATGAAAAAGGGGAAAAATAAACTAATTGTGGACAATGTAAAAACTGTTGCTCTTACTTCCATTTACAGTGTCCAGGATTGTATCTGTGGAAGACAGTTACACCTTCAGATCGACACTTCACAATATTTATCACTTTATTTTAATCACAAACTAATGTCAGTCAAAACTTAGTCATAAAAAGTAGAGCACAATCAGCTCAATGTCTTACCTGAAACAGACACTTTAATGTTGTGGCTTTCTGATGCAGAATTTGATCCGGCAGCTGCACATCTATAAAGGCCATCATCCTGAACTGATAAACTCTTGAAGCTCAAATATGAGATGATCTCTTTCTCTTCTGCAGTAAACCACTCCTGTGTAACTGTTACTTGATCTGTTTCGCTGACTGGTATCGACTTGTCTGTATCTTTAATTCTGAACCATCTAACAGTTGGAATCTCCTCACAGTATGTCACAGGACAGGGGACTCTTAACAGACTTTTACTGGAGCCTCTATAAACAGTGTTCTTGCGAACTCTGACTGCAGGAACACACAGACCAGCAGGACCTACAGGGAACAGAAAACTGCAATGAGCTTCTAAAAGCCTAAAAAATGACATCTAACGGGGTTCAGCTAGTGCATGTTACCCTTCAAAGCAACAAAATACACTCCAGATGAAAACTGCCTGTCCAGTCTTAGAGCTCCACTGAGTTCCAACAAACCTGATGTGTTGTATTTTGTGCAAAAATCAAATGTTTTTCGAAATACTGATGGAGAAGAATGAAGTCAAAATCTGATAATCATTTATAACACTGGGTGTGTTATTGTCCTGTGTTTTTTACTGTACTTGTACATGCATCATTTCTGGAGCATACAAAATCAGTCCTGGCGTGGTTTATGTAAAGTGTATATGTGTATTCATATCTTTTCACTTTACTTCTCATTAAATTATCTTCTAATAACTTCACTAGGAAAAACATAAACCAACATTAAATAATGGATAATTTTAATTTAAAACAATTGAACCCTCTACAGGATGCTTTACTGAGAGCAATAAAAACTGATTCACTCTTGTATAAATGGGTTAAATTATTAAAATCAAAAACAATTTTCAAGACAAAAATCATGTGTGTGGGGTTCCTATTCGGGTACTTTGGTTTGAGGCAACATTGCGTGACAATAAAAAGAAAATGAAATAGGATGTGAAGTGAAAAAATATGGAAAACAGGATTTTAATGAAACATTTGGAATTAAACTGAGTAACTACACACCTAAAAAAGAAGGTTCTTCAAACGTTCTTTAGTAAAGAAAATGGTTTTATATAGAACCATGAACACTCAAAGAGCCCTTTGCATAATTAAAGCGTTCTTTGGATTGTGAAAGTGTCCTTCGGATTGATGAAGAAAGTGTTGTATATAGTTCTATACAGAACCTTTTTGAATAGTTTTCTATATAGCACCAAAAAAGGTTATGCTACTCTTACGACGTCAAGCTTGTAACGACAGAAGAACCCTTTTTGTTGCTATATAGCAGCCTTTTCAAAAAGGTTCTATATAGAACCATTTTCTTTACTAAAGAACCCTTGAAGAACCATCTTATTTAAGAGTGTACATAATTTGTTTGAATACTAAAAATGTTTTTAAAAAATCTATTTTATTGTTGTTTTCAAAGACATCATGATGAAGCTATGACGAAACATTTTACGGTAGTGTCATCCACGAGCTGCACCCTACTAGAACGAGGTCTTAAAATGCCCACCTTTGGTTCATTCAAACTCCTTTTATTGTGAATTTGTGCATTCTCATTAGTCATGTTACATAACTTTGTAAAGTGTGCATAGTGAGTATGTTACCCTGAGGCAACATTGTTCTGTAGAGGGTTAAAATAATTGTATCTATGAATGGAACGCAACCTGTGCTAAATGTAGAAAGGCTGACTTACCTTGTGCGTCTACAGTTACAAACAGACCAAAAGCCACAATCATCAGAATCATCAGAAGTGAGATCTCCATAGTGAATGAAGGGTTGATCTAATCTTTACACAGACGGGTTCAAAACTAATGCAGGTTCAACTTCAAAGCTTCACCATGCAGCCAATCACTGTGTACTCATCTCTGACAAAGCCCCCCTCTCTCTCTCTCTCTCTCTCTCTCATACACTCACATACACACACTGTGGTCAACACCATAATGTGGCCAACATCACGTTTTTCTATTTTTCTTTCACTCAGCATTGTTCTGCTGTTCTGCAAGATGTTAATTTTATATCCTTAATAAAATCTAATCTAGTGCTAAAATCACTCATCCTGACAACCATCTGGAAATGTATGAATACACAGTCCTTCTGTAATTCAGTCAAGCGCTCATGTAATTTAAAGAGAATTAAAGATCAATATATACTGTATTTATAATTGTTATGTTAGTACAAAATCACATTTTACTAAATTACATCTTGAACAGCACAGAGAGGCAGAGAAAAAAGGTGAAATGTCCATTCGTTTGTCTTTACGGATGTGAAACATAGTTGAGATTTTTAACATTTTAGGCCTATACCCCACACAGAAGCCTCCAGCTAGCTTGCTAACACCTGCTATATCAGGAATTATGCTTTCAGTAACACTAGATGTGGTATGAAATTGCAGATTGTGTTCAGTAATATAACAGTGTCATGTTACCATTACTGGTAATTGTCATGACAGCTGTCATAATGTTTGATATCATTATAGCTTTCACCAATCAGCCATCAGATTGAAACCCCCTCCTTGTTTCTACACTCATTGTCCATTTTATCAGCTCCACTGACCACATAGGAGCACTTTGTAGTTCTACAATTACAGACTGTAGTCCATCTGTTTCTCTGCATACTTTGATAGTCCCCTTTTACCCTGTTCTTCAGTGGTCAGGACCCCATTATTTGTGTGGTGGATCATTCTCAGCACTGCAGTAACGCTGATGTGGTGGTGGTGTGTTAGTGTGTGTTGTGCTGGTACGAGTGGATCAGTGCTGCTGGAGGTTTTAAACACTGTGTCCACTCACTGTCCACTCTATTAGACACTCCTACCTTCTTAGTCCACCTTGTAGATGTAAAGTCAGAGACGATAGCTCATCTGCTGCTGCACAGTTTGTGTTGGTCGTCCTCTAGTCCTTAATCAGTGGTCACAGGACGCTGCCCACAGGACGCTGTTGGCTGGATATTTTTGGTTGGTGGACTATCCTCAGTCCAGCAGTGACACTAAGGTGTTTAAAAACTCCAGCAGCACTGCTGTTTCTGATCCACTCAGACCAGCGCAACACACACAAACACACCACCACCATGTCAGTGATACTGCAGTGCTGAGAATGATCCACCACCCAAACAATACCTGCTCTGTGGTGGTCCTATGGGGGTCTACTACTTTCTATTATTGCAGAATCGGCCCTGTACTGCTCCCACTTCCACACCCACAAAATTATGCAGTCATGTTATTTGGTGGAATCACGTTTTGTATGATCAAATATTATTACAATGTGAATTAAAACGCGCACTGATGAAAATACACTAACCATATCCCACAGACGTGAAGTGGACCCACATGGACAAATGACTATGGTACCAGGAAGGAAACTGCTATGTTCATATATTTTCTCCTCATGCTAACCTTAACCTTGCTTAAATCAAAGTCAATCTGGTATAGTAGACACACTTTTTTGTTTAGCAGTATCACTAAGGATGACATACTACTGTGTTTAGCCTTGAGGCTTCAGAACCAGTCTGCCCTCTTCTAAAATGTACAGTAGCCGTTCCAAAGGAACGATAGTCAGGCGTATGGAATGAGTGAACAAAATAGTCTCTCAACTCTATACACTCTCAAAAATGATTGTATGCTGAATTGAATCATAATTCATCGTCTCACTCTTGTGTTATTACTATTGTATTACATTCTGCATCAGGCCACAAGAACACGTTGTACATAGGCCTCTATTTACAAAGCTTCACATAGTAGGAATACTGATTCCTACAGACTCGTCTCTCATTTACTATGACTTTACTGACTGGAACAGGTTCTAGATCAGTGCCCCTACTCTGAGAAGCTTTGTGAATAAGGCCCAGTATCTGTAATATAGTGTGTTTTTGCATTAAAAATCTGAACACATTTTCTGATTTTCTGTGTTAAAGGAGAAGTCCATTCAGCATAACCCAGTGGTTGAGATGTAAACAAAGTCATTCAGAGTGGTTTGATGTGAAATGGTTCATTATAGAGAAACTTACCAACTCTGATTTCTTTACAGTGGTGGTGATAGGAACTGGGGGTCACCATGTCAACAGCACAAATGTAGCCATTTTATTTACTATCCAAAACAGCTACACAAGTTTTTATATATAACGATGGTAAAATAGTGTTAAATCTGAAACCGTAATTTCTTTGCAGACTATTTTATTTCATGTACCTCTTGACCATGAAGGTAATTTAAAAGTCTCTTATTTCAGAATCTTCTCAAAACTATTGTAAACCAACCTCTCAGGCATCAGGCATGTGTGAAGTAGCTTTCAGATGCGTTAAACATTTTGGATGTCTTGCAAAGATTTATAGAATCAAGCATTTTAAACCACTCTAAATGAATTTGCTTTAGGTCTTAATGATTTAATGGTGCAGAAATTTGAAAAATAGATGGAACTGTCCTTTAAATAATAATGTCCACTGTTTCTGTTTAAAAGCAATTGGCCTACAAAATGCACACTCTTCCAAAACAGATGACATACTTTTTCTTCACCAAGAGGAAACACAGCCCAGATGTGTTGGCAAACTTAGGACTAATATCGTGGACATGAGTCTAGAGTGGAATGTACACTTGGCTACACCTTCATTTGTTTTTTATTTGTTTGAGACACACAAGTACACACTTAAATATGGTTCCTCAGGGGTTCTTTGATAAAGAACATGGTTCTATGTAGAACCATGAAAACTCAAAGAACCATTTGCATGATTAAAGGGATCTTTGCGTCATAAAGGGTCCTTCAGATTGATGGAGAATGTGCTGTAGATGGTTCTATATAGAACCTTTTGGAAAAGGGTTCTTCTATTGTTACAAGCTTGACATCATAACAATAGAAGGACCCTTTTCAAAAAGGTTCTATATAGAATCATCTACATTATTGAGAACTCTTTCATGATGCAAAGAACGCTTTAATCATGCAAAGGGTTCTTTGAGTGTTCATGGTTGTATATAGAACTGTTTTCTTTACTAAAGAACACTTGAAGAACCATCTTTTTAAAGAGTGTATGTGGCACTAGGAAGAGAGAGTGATTTGAGGTCAAGGCTGTGTGACTGGATATTCACTTATACTTTACTTTCATTTTCCTGGCTTTAAGCTGCTTGTCTTACTCTCTTTTTTAGCCTATTGGGAAAACTCTGTTTAGTTCCACACCTTAACTCACTCTTAAAGAGCTTTTAAACCGCTGTACTTATGTATTAAGCCTAAATGCATAAGAACACTTTGCCTAGATACCCTGCCAAACATACACGGATTACAGTAGTGCTCTAAATAGAGAGTCTAGTTTTATCTGTTGTGTACATGATCACAAATCTCTATAAAGTATACATTTGTTGCTAAACGACCTGTAAACCCTAATCTGACCACAACTACAAGCATAAACAGGCAAAAGGAGGCACTGCTGAGTACACTAGCCAATCACAGCACAGGAAGGTGTGGTCACAGTGAAGGCATACAAGTGCATAAAATATCATGGCATTTAAAAGCTGCTGCTGCAGTGCTGCTGCTCTGAGCTTCAAGATGACTCACTGTCACCATCTGATTTTCACTTTATGGACACTTTTCCTCTCTGGATTCACTCAAGGTAAGTTTGGCAAGTTGGACTTTGTTCAGGTTGTCTAATGGAAGGTTGGCACTGCTGGCACAGTAGAGACTGTAGACTGGCACACAGAATACAAACACAAGCAGCATCATTATATTTTCAATAAGATGTTATAACAATTGCTGATATTTTATTCAGTAATAACTTATACGGTGTAGACTGACATACTGTAATTTACTGTAAGGTGTTTGAAGATGTTGTATTTCTTGAGAACATCAATAAGTGTTTGATAGTAAATAATACACTGTAATTTTCTATGTACAGCACTTCCTCAATAAGGTACCTGTCTCAAGATTTAATCAACACATTTCAAATACCGGAGATTCTGGATGTTGATTTTATTAGATCTTTAATCTCAATGTTCATCAATTTTCTCAATCGCATTCAAATTCACCTACAGCTCTGCTCTTTATTCTGGACTGTCTTAATCTTTTACAGCTTCCTACAAAATAGCTGATACCTACTGTAGTACCATCATAATAGAATGATTTTAGACATGTAGCTGCATTAAATCTGGTTTTATATTAATGAAAACAGTGATTCCAAACTATTGAATGTCCCACGGATGTGAGATGTACCTTACAATTATGTCAAACTGTAGTGTTTGTGTTATTTATTTTATAGTGTATGTGTTGACATGTTTATATATTTCTTTTTCTTTCCATTATGGGTACAGTCATGTGCAAAGGTTTGACCTTTGGTCAAATTGCATGTTTTGTTGATTTTAAATAATTTAAATAACACCTTCAGCAAATTTTAGTCCAAAATTTCTGTTTATTTGCCGAGTTGAACATACTGGGGAAAAATAAATAAAACAAAAACTTACTGTGCCATAACTTTTGCATAGGCCACACCCCTCCCCCTCAACGTGTTCAATTAATTTAAATACTGCATTAAAATGAGCAGAGGTGTGTTCTCTATAGAGGATATGTAAATTTATTTCTACTTGGAAAATCAACAAGCTATGACCAAGGACAAAGTTTTAATTTGACCAAGGACAAAGTTTTGCATATGACTGCATATGTGTCCAGCCCTAACTGACTGTTTCAGCATAATCTAAGTTTCCATTAAAGCTAACCGTGCTGTGCCCCAGGGTAGATACTCTGACTTCCTCAATCTTGGAGTCTTGCAGTCAGTCTGTCAGTTTCCTGTTTTTTTTCTTACATCTCTACTACCAGTCTGCTTCTGAAAGTAACAACCTGTGGAATCTAAACGTTTCAGTCAGACCACATTCATTTTCCCCAGTTCAGCTCCAGATCCTGAACACTCAGGCATGAGATAAAAAATAAAGCAAGCTCAAGCTAAAGATTCAAGTTGTGATTTAAAGCAGTGCTGCCCAAAATGTGGCCCACAAGCCAAAACTGACCTATGAGGATGTTTGATCTGGCCTGTCGGAAAGGTTCCTTAAGCCTACCCTGTCACCCAAAGAGAGAATAAACACATTTTCTACTTTATATAACTTACTGAATTCTTAGTTTCCTTTTAAAATCACATTTTAAAGATTTTTAGTAACAATACATTGTATAAATTTCCTAAATTGCACTTTTAAAGCTCGATTTGAAGTCAGTCTGCCTTAATTTGTATATTGGTTTTGTCTTTTTGACCCACCACCGACACTGCACTTTGGTACCAAGATGAAATGTTTGTGGACTCCTGTTTTAGAACAACAAAAGGTGATCACTGACAAGCTGAGAAGGTTGCAGATTTAATGGATTAAATAATAAAATAATAGGAATAAAAAAATTGTTAATTTCCTTCAAGAATCCATGAACATATCATTGCTCTTTCTCTAGCTATTTTCTTCCTTTAATTTGTGTGCATCGGTATCTGTGGACTGGGGAGTTGGCTGGGCATGTAAAGATTCAGAGCTCAGCTTTGTGAAATCAACCTGTAAAATGTGCAGTGGCTACTTTATTATAAGAGAATTTACAAACAACAACAACAACAACAACAACAACAAAACAGTGCAGCGATTCAGCAACATTTATTGGGTCTGAATCATTAAAATAAACAAAACAAATTGAGAAACTACTGTAACAGAAAGTGAAAAAATGTGGACATAATGCCATTATGAAATTTCTCTCTACATCAGCTGTCTCTTCTACACGGCTCCTCTGTAATGTCCTACTAACAGAGGAGACTTTTATCTACAGTGGAGCTGAATAGTCATTCAGTAAAAACTCTTCTTGCCTAAAGCCAAACAAGAAACTCTTCTAATTATCTTGCTAAAACAAAACATTCCATCTGTGTAATCTTGTGTCCTGATAAAGATTGCTAGACAGGCTGAAAGATAAACATGGGCTAAACATGCTTCTCACACGCAACATCAGGCTTGGGTTAGGCTGGTTTTGAGATTGAGTGATTTTAAAAACTAATTTGGAGTTTTAACTTAAAGAAGTGTCTGGCTGCCTTTTAATCTTATTGCACTTCAAATAATGAGTTAAAAGAACAAATACACATTTTTCTGTTAGCTTACATATTCAGTGACCTTGAACTTTTAAAAGAGCCAGTTTACTTACAATAAGTTACAATGATGAGTTTTACAGCGGAGGCATTTTGTCCCTTGACACTCTCTCTCACACGCACTCTCTAGCTCACAGTCTCTCTCTCTTGCTCCCCGACTCAGAGGAGTGGGTGAATGCACCCCCGAATGGACCACTGATAATGAGCGTCATGCATAATTGAGCTGGGGTGAAACGTGTGATGTGTTAACATTATGAGGTTTGGGGCTGTTTAAAAAACAGTGGGGGCTGTAGCTCCAGAAGCCCAGGCCAGGCGACGCCTATCGCTATGTAGAAGGCATTCCAACAGAGACACAAAGACTCTGTCCTTAGTTATATTTGCTCATATTTATGGCTGTGAGTGTCTTGGCCAGTTAAGGTGGAGAATAACTGCGCTCTGTCAGGCTTTGCTCACTTCTTCAGTGGAAACCACATTTCCAGTAACCTGCCAAGAACCAATTATGAGTGATCAGATACTTGTTTATTTAGTGTAAAAACTAAAAGCCAGGTGATAAAATCAGAGACATGTACACTGTGTTACATGTGCTCAGTCGATCCAGCTGCCAGCACCTTATTAGTTGAGCCAACAATCTTTATGGAGGGCCTAATATTTGCCAGTATGGAATTTGTTGTGTTCTGCTCTGTTCTGGTTCACATAAAAATCTCCAAAATATGGCACGTGATTTCACTGAACTCGTTTCAAAACTCCATAGCATTCCAATCAAACAGGAAATACTGCTCATTTATGACCATCAGCTGTTGTGAAAGACACTCAGTGAGCAGAAAAGCAGTGATCAAAACTACATAGCCTGACACTTGAAAACGAAACATCTCTAAACACTCCCACAACTCCTCAAACCTTTCATAAACAGTGCTTACAGGTTGGTGAAAGAATATGGTAGGATAGGTGTGAGCTATTTCTGATCTATACCAATATACGGGTACTAGTGTTACACAAAAAATGATTTTTAGCGTCAGTGTTATTCGGGGTGATGGAAAACTAAAACTTACCTGCAATGTACGTTATTTGTTGTTTTGAAACAACAGTTCAAAATACGTGCTAAGTAAAAGGTCATTTTATGACTAAATTTATTTCTACTTAGAAAATCAACAAGCTATGAAATTTGACCAAGGACAAAGTTTTGCATATGACTGAATATGTGTCCAGCCCTAATTGACTGTTTCAGCATAATCTAAGTTTCCATTAAAGCTAACCGTGCTGTGCCCCAGGGTAGATACTCTGACTTCCTCAATCTTGGAGCAAACCTTCAAACATTCTGTCAGTCAGTCTGTCAGTTTCCTGTTTTTTTCTTACATCTCTACTACCAGTCTGCTTCTGAAAGTAACAACCTGTGGAATCTAAACGTTTCAGTCAGACCACATTCATTTTCCCCAGTTCAGCTCCAGATCCTGAACTCTCAGGCATGAGATAAAAAATAAAGCAAGCTCAAGCTAAAGATTCAAGTTGTGATTTAAAGCAGTGCTGCCCAAAATGTGGCCCACAAGCCAAAGCTGACCTATGAGGACGTTTGATCTGGCCTGTCGGAAAGGTTCCTTAAGCCTACCCTGTCACCCAAAGAGAGAATAAACACATTTTCTACTTTATATAACTTACTGAATTCTTAGTTTCCTTTTAAAATCACATTTTAAAGATTTTTAGTAACAATACATTGTATAAATTTCCTAAATTGCACTTTTAAAGCTCGATTTGAAGTCAGTCTGCCTTAATTTGTATATTGGTTTTGTCTTTTTGACCCACCACCAACACTGCACTTTGGTACCAAGATGAAATGTTTGTGGACTCCTGTTTTAGAACAACAAAAGGTGATCACTGACAAGCTGAGAAGGTTGCAGATTTAAATGGATTAAATAATAAAATAATAGGAATAAAAAAATTGTTAATTTCCTTCAAGAATCCATGAACATCATTGCTCTTTCTCTGGCTATTGTCTTCCTTTAATTTGTGTGCATCGGTATCTGTGGACTGGGGAGTTGGCTGGGCATATAAAGATTCAGAGCTCAGCTTTGTGAAATCAACCTGTAAAATGTGCAGTGGCTACTTTATTATAAGAGAATTTACAAACAACAACAACAACAACAACAACAACAACAACAACAACAACACAGTGCAGCAATTCAGTAAAATTTATTGGGTCTGAATCATTAAAATAAACAAAACAAATTGAGAAACTACTGTAACAGAAAGTGAAAAAATGTGGACATAATGCCATTATGAAATTTCTCTCTACATCAGCTGTCTCTTCTACACGGCTCCTCTGTAATGTCCTACTAACAGAGGAGACTTTTATCAACAGTGGAGCTGAATAGTCATTCAGTAAAAACTCTTCTTGCCTAAAGCCAAACAAGAAACTCTTCTAATTATCTTGCTAAAACAAAACATTCCATCTGTGTAATCTTGTGTCCTGATAAAGATTGCTAGACAGGCTGAAAGATAAACATGGGCTAAACATGCTTCTCACACGCAACATCAGGCTTGGGTTAGGCTGGTTTTGAGATTGAGTGATTTTAAAAACTAATTTGGAGTTTTAACTTAAAGAAGTGTCTGGCTGCCTTTTAATCTTATTGCACTTCAAATAATGAGTTAAAAGAACAAATACACATTTTTCTGTTAGCTTACATATTCAGTGACCTTGAACTTTTAAAAGAGCCAGTTTACTTACAATAAGTTACAATGATGAGTTTTACAGCGGAGGCATTTTGTCCCTTGACACTCTCTCTCACACGCACCCTCTAGCTCACAGTCTCTCTCTCTTGCTCCCCGACTCAGAGGAGTGGGTGAATGCACCCCCGAATGGACCACTGATAATGAGCGTCATGCATAATTGAGCTGGGGTGAAACGTGTGATGTGTTAACATTATGAGGTTTGGGGCTGTTTAAAAAACAGTGGGGGCTGTAGCTCCAGAAGCCCAGGCCAGGCGACGCCCATTGCTGTGTAGAAGGCATTCCAATAGAGACACAAAGACCAATTAGAACCAATTATGAGTGATCAGATACTTGTTTATTTAGTGTAAAAACTAAAAGCCAGGTGATAAAATCAGACATGTACACTGTGTTACATGTGCTCAGTTGATCCAGCTGCCAGCACCTTATTAGTTGAGCCAACAATCTTTACGGAGGGCCTAATATTTGCCAGTATGGTCTTTGTTGTGTTCTGCTCTGTTCTGGTTCACATATAAAAGTCTCCAAAATATGACATGTGATTTCACTGAACTCGTTTCAAACTCCATAGCATTCCAATCAAACAGGAAATACTGCTCATTTATGACCATCAGCTGTTGTGAAAGACACTCAGTGAGCAGAAAAGCAGTGATCAAAACTGCATAGCCTGACACTTCTAAAACCAACATCTCTAAACATTCCCACAACTCCCCAAACCTTTCATAAACAGTGCTTACAGGTTGGTGAAAGAATATGGTAGGATAGGTGTGAGCTATATCTCATCTATACCAATATACGGGTACTAGTGTTACACAAAAAATGATTTTTAGCGTCAGTGTTATTCAGTGTGATAGAAAACTAAAACTTACCTGCAAATGTATGTTATTTGTTGTTTTGAAACAACAGTTCAAAATACGTGCTAAGTAAAAGGTCAGTTTCTGTTCTGGAAATGTGGTCAAACTTCACAGTACTAGGCAAGTTTCCCATTGTTGTGGTTTTAAGAGAAACAGAACTAAACAGTCCAAACAGAACAAGCTACAGACGTGTGGAAAATGTTGGCACCCCTGGTCAAATCACGTTTTGTTGAGGAAATAAGGCACAAGTACTGTTTACTTAACATAATTTAACACAAATTTTTGAAAATGAGGCCTGGGTAAAAGTTTATAGCATATTTTATATTTTTAATATGTTAAACTCAGCAAATAAATAGAGATTGTGAGCTACAATTAGCAGAAAAATACCCTATTTACATTTCTTGTCTGTAGAGGATGTGTTAACTACTTTCACTTAGAAAGTCAACAAAACTGACTCATCTGATACTGTGATATATTAGGAAAATATTGCTGATGAATCTTCCCTATCAAAATCCATACACCTGATTCAACATCAGTTAATGTAATGTAATTATTTACATCTGGAGGCCATTATTCAGTCTTAAAGAGCTTCCAGGACCGATGTCCCTGCTGTCTTCTCTCTTCATATTAAAATATCTGCACAAATTACAGCCACACAGATTACACTGGAATGAATGGAGTTGCCAATTAGATTCAGACTCTGACATTAATTAGTTTGGCATCAGAGAGAAAGCCTGGAAAATACACACACCACTCATTACACAAACCATTATGGGTTTCCAGGACATGGATTAAGTCCAGAACTAGACTTAATACCTACTCGGCACAATAGCTGTGTGTTTGGAAATACTGTGTCATCCATAGAGGAGGCGTTTAGTGTTTTTCTTGCATTCCGCTTAACATTTGTGTGGATAGATGAATCAAAAACAGCTATTAAAAGCCCACATTTTGCCAAGGGTGCTGTAGATCAGTAACATGGGGTTTTAAATTACTACACTGGTGACAAAGGGATAAAAAGCATGAAGAACAGATAATTAGAGCTTTTACTAAAACGAACCACAATAGAAACACTGTGCTATGATACCTAATACCACTCTGGGAGAAGGACAATACTGATGGCACCCAAGAAAACCACACTTGCCTACTCTGAAACAAAGTACTTGGCTACACAAACAAAACTAAACCAAAAGCTAAATACACTACACTTCCCTGTCCAATAACCGAAAGTACATGGGACAGTGCCCACACTCTGACCAAGGGAGCTTGACAGAGTAGATTCCTACATGGTGCAAATGTTTAGGCACCCCTCTTATTTGTTTATAAAAACCACAAGGGGTTAAAATTATAGAGCAGATCCCATAAAACAAAGTTCAAATGGGTGAGCAGAATACCTCTAACACACCCTGACACTAGGGACTAAAACCAGAGCACACATGTGGTAACAGTCCTGTCTTCTTCACCTAGCTTGAATGTAGCTTTTAAGCATTAGGCTCCTCCCTAAGTTACACCAGCCAGGATTCTGATTGGTCAGAGGCCCTCAGCATGACTGACGACAAAGACAGATATGCTCGTTGTAAAGGGTGACAGCCATAATGTTTTATATATCACTGTTGTCAGAAGAAAACCTCATATCTCCAAAATGATGACTTTACAGGAGAAGGAAAAAAACTACTTTACTTTTAAATGTAAGTCAACAGAAAGACTTTTTTCCCCAAGTCATTTTGGGTAATTTCTTTTAGTCCATTCATCATAAAATTTACACACAATGTAAAGGTATTTTCAAATTCTGTCAAAAACTGAAAAATGTCAAACATGGAGATGCTGGCTGTCTTGTATTGTCTCGTTCATAAAGCAGCTCAGGCTAAAACACTCCTTATAACTTCAGCATGAATGGATGGGGCTACACTGTGGTACACCTAACAGGTGTATATGTAAATGTGTTGGTAAAGAGGTCATTCAAAACGGGCTAATTTTGCAGCTTAATTTGTATGACCTGTGTTGGCTGGGTAGTGAACTCTACATCATGAAGCAATGTTTATATATTACACTCTACATTTACATTACTATTCACTATATATGCTTTTAAACGACAAGTTCCTTGTTTTATGTTAAATGCATATTGTCTAGGTTTACGTGGTTTAAGTGGCTAGTTATTATCTTTTCAGTTCACTGTTTTTATTTACTTGGTTGTGGTGTTGGTCGGTCATTTTTTGCTTCATGGTTTGTATGTAGCAGTTAGTTCCCGTAAGTGTAAGGGAGACCTTATGCTCATCATGACCCCACAATTATTACAGTATATTTGTTGTATTACTCACAGCTCATCCTCAAGTCGTCCATGTGAAGCCTGTTGAGAATCCCACCTACGCTGAGGAATTCCAGTGTGTAACAGAATCCAACCCTGAACACACAAAGTACAGCTGGAGCAGGTAAATGACTGTAACCTTTCTCACACTGATACATTTTACTTATTAATAGCAGAAAATGTAGCCAAATAATCAGCATTTTCTGACCAACTTGACCAGCTGGGTGCTTTGTACATGTTAAAGGAATAGTTTGAATTTTCCACTGACCCCAGATGATCAGCAAAGAAATGTTTGCTGTCTACATATTGCTGCTTTAGTTTAGGTCTGCAGCTGCTAGGCTATTGTTGCTAAGAAACACTGGAAGTCAATAGTCACACAAAAACCTTTCTGTAAAGACGCGCCAAAAACTTCCTTAACTGCGTCAAATCAAGTGCAAGTCATTATTCAAGAAATGCGGAGAAGTTGACAAGGTGTCGAACACAGTACAACTCACTGTGGACTACAAAAAAGAAAAAGAAAACAGCTTCTGTGTCGTTAAAAGAAGGTGCTGTATTTTAGTGTAACTGAAATCCTGATTTTGCAGAGCACATTTCGTGCAAGTGTCCCCGAAATCTAAAATTTCCTGAGCACAACTCGCACAGGATGTCTAAACACAGATGCGCTGTAGGGAACGCAGAAAGAGAAGCTCAGTGAGTGTAACTCAGAAAATCAGTACAATATCCAATTACGAATTTGAGGACCACATTTTCTGCACAAATGAGCCATGTTTAACCCTGAATATACACATGAAGAAAGGCGTCAGTTTGATGATGGACCCACCAGCGACTCCTCAGACCACCTCTCAGCTACATCTGGTATGACAGTAAGTGAGCACAACGAAGACAAAATCACTTCTTTGAGGTGCCATCCAAAAACATGTACTTGATACAGCTATAGGTTTTAAAATATCTTGCTTGCTAGAAGAGCTTCCTTGTAATCGTCAGGTGAAAAATGATCACCACAGAGATTCTGCACAATAACTTTACTGAATGTCTCTGGTTTGCAAAAAGCCACAGTTTGCATGTGTCTCCATCAGCATGAAATTGTAGGTATCACCAGACTACTCATAGAAGTCTTTATTCTGTTTTTCTACAATGGAAAGCAGCACCTCATTGTAGGTTAATCATTATTCAGTGAGTAACCTTGAGCTCTCTTACAGTAAACATTACTGTAAGAATTACTGTGCTAACACTACACACCTGTGTACCTGCTTACCTGTGTAGTGGCATTTTTCAACATGCCTCTGTGTGCGGCATCCTCCCAGAGTTTGAAGACAGAATAGTACCAGAATCATGTAAACCATGCAAATTTGATTTCTCGCTGAACTATTCCTTTAAACTGGACCAAGCTGTGCTGCAGAAATGCCTTTTTACTCATCTAAAAACGAATCAGTCAAACTTAAACTACATTGTATGGCCAAAAGTTTGTAGACACCAGCTCGTCCATTGCTTCTTCTAAAATCAAGGGTATTAATAGTGTATTTCTCCCATCTTTGCTGCAGTAACAGCCTTTATTCTTCTGGGAAGACTTTACTCTAGATGTTGGAACTTTGCTATGATGATTTGATTGCATTCAGCCACAAGAGCATTAGTGAGGTCAGGTACAGATATTGGATGACCAGTTGTGGATCACTCCAACTCATCCCAAAGGTAATGGATGGAGCTCCATCACTCCAGAGAACACAGTCCCACTGCGCCACAGCCCAGTGCTGGGGGGCTTTATGCACCTCTAGCTGACACTTGGCACTGGGCATGGTGAGCTTAGGCTCACGTGTGGCTACTCCAGGGCGTCCCATTCTATTAGTCAATGCTTTTCTATGGAGATTATGCAAGCTGTGTGTGCGCGCATGTGTGTCGAGGGGTATCTGTATACTTTGACATATCGTGGATCATGAAAATGTATTATGTAAAGTATTTTGATATTATATCTTTGCCATATCGCCCAGCTCCATAATAGATGTGAGACTCTGAAAACTCTATATATTTGTACATGTGTCCCTTCTGACAGGCCTCTCACTTTACTCTAGACAGGGCTGGGATGCTCTTCCTGAAGGAGTGAAAGCAGAGGGAGACCGACTACACTTCCTGAAGTCGACCTCTGACCTCAATGGTCTCTACATTTGTGTGGTAAAAAACCAGCTTGGAGCTGCAGCAGGTTCACTATATCGATATAAGAGACTCTCAGACGAGCTTTAATGAAGGTGAGTCATCAATAGGCACTGTCACTGTCTCTCTCCCCCTTCTCTCTCTATCAATGATCACTTTGACAGCAGACAGTAGGCAGAGAGTAAAGAGAGATACATGTTCATCTGATTTCTTACATCATTCCAGTTAACTGTAACATGTAACTGTAAGAGAGAGAGAGAGAGAGAGAGAGAGAGAGAGAGAGAGAGAGAGAGAGAGAGAGAGAGAGAGAGAGAGAGAGAGAGAGAGAGAGACAGCAGGGGCACCCTCTCTCTCTCTCGTCTTTCAGTGTCACAGTCAGGAATGCAAGGAATCAGGGAATCAGATAACTACGTGCCTCTCTTTACTATCAGTCTACTGTTGGTATGATGAGAGAAATGATAGTGATGTGTGTGTTTTGACCAAAATGTTTTTTTTGTTTTTTCTGTCTTCCTCTTTCTAGATATCCACTAGAATGTTTACATGTTCAAACTAGTGGGGTTTCCTGTGTGTACACATCATAACTTTACAGGACAAAAAAGTGCACTACAACAAACTGAATACTCTTTTCATTGCTTTGGTTTAAAGAAAAAGCTAATATTTGAAACAATCTCAACACAGTCATTGATCATACAATAAACATATCTCGTACTCTTCGGCCATTTTATCAGATACAGTATATGAGTGCACATTTTGTAGGTTCGCAGTTACTGACTGTAGCTCATCTGTTGCTGCACAATTGAATCAGCCCCCTTCTACACCATCCATCAATGGAAAAGGATCACCAAAAGACCACCACTGACCAGATATTATTTGGGTGGTGGATTATTCTCAGCACAGTAAAGACACTGATATGGTGGTGTGTGTTGTTCTGGTTATAAGTGTATCAGGAACAGGTTTAAAAACTGTGTACACTAAGGCCCAATCCCTTTTCTTATTTTTACCCTTACCCCTTGTTTTCGAGTGCCACCTTGCCCCTTGAAGCTGAGTTACAAGGGGTAGTAGTTGAAATCATCCCCTACAAAATGGCCAATAAAAAAGAACATTACTTCATTGACAACAAATTTAGGGCATCATATGTTTTCAAAGTGGTGGTGGGGGGACAGAGACACTGGCGTACTACTAGCAACTTCTTATGCTTATTATGAAGAAATGGACCATAATACATTGAAACAACTTTAAACTAAGATAATACAATGGTTATCATAATTATTTATTAAGAAAATTCTAACATTTGTGGGTTTCTTTGGTCACTTGTGAAGCCATCTTGCTGGTTTTTCTTTTTTTCCCCTCATAACACTCTGTTTGGAGTGAGCCTCTGAAAAACCTCAGTTTGGAGGGCCATGTAGCCCTAACATTTCGCCCTACCCCTCTATCTCAACAAAAATTGGGACACCCTACCCCTAGACATGAACACGCAAAACGGAAGGCTAAGGGCTAAAAAGTAGGAGCAAGGGGTGAAATGGGATTGGGCCTTTCTGTCCACACTGTCAGACTCATCTACCTTGTTAGTCCACCTTGTAGGTGCACAGTTAAAGACATGCACAATTCATATCATGCTTTAGTTCTTCATCAGTGGTCAGTTTCTGACCACAGGACACTGTATATTTCTGGTTGGTGGGCAATTACTTAGCTTCATATTCTTTGATAATATATTAATAATTCATTATGAATAGAATCTTACTAATCATTATAGAGATTATACAAGCTGTGTGTGCACAACTGGGCACGATTGTGTCAGCAATTGGTGCACCTTAAACCATCGGAAATATTGAATAGAAGGGGTGTCTGGATACTTTTGGACATATGGTGTATTAACATTAGAGTGGATCTACTTCCTAAGATAAATCCTGGTAGGTTGGTGCTTTATTTTATGCCCACAGATGGCAGGGCAGTTTTGGTGCTACAATGACAGAGGTGTGGTATTTTGTTTATACTGAACTAGCATCTCATTTTTCTAGGATCTGATGAACAACAAGAAACTCAGGAAGGAAAAGGGAGCGGCTTTCACAGTAGATTATGGTGCTACTTGCAGAAGAATAGTCTGTGCCAAACTATTTAATACAGGCAGGCCATTTCCTATTTACTGAGTGTAAAGATCAATTGGCCATTGTGTAAACATTTGGCATTCATGTTTGCTTTGACTTGCCAAGAAGTCTAAGGTCTACAGTCATATGCAAAGTTTAGGTGTCCCTGGTCATATGATATGTTTTTTTGGTTTTCTGAGTGAAAACAAGTTAACATAACGCCACAAAGAACACACTTCTGCACATTTTCATGTACAGTTATTGTATATTTATGTCCCAATATGTTCAACGTTTTAATGCTAAAAGTTTGTTCCCTGTAGAGAATGTTATTTTCACTTAGATGATTGATACAACTGATATAGTCAAGCTTTTACCTTCCAAAGCTATGTGGCTTATGTGAAAATGCTGTGTAGACCTCAATGTTGGGTCAAGATGGAAAGAGTTAGTGTTTTAGTAAGAATAGTGACTAATGAGAGGTCTGTGGGAAATACATCAGTGAACAGGTTTGGAAACTGCACACATTCTATGACCGTGATGCTCCTTTATTGCTGTGATATGTAAAGAAAAAACAGCTGTTCATCAGGTGACTGATAATGTCAATGCAGGATGTGATGAGAGAGGGATGTTACAGGGCTGCATTCCAAAAACCTCTTAGTAACAAGACATATGACAGTTCATTGCTGTGAAAACCATAGACACTGGAAATGATGAGAAAAAGATATAAATCATATGTTACGACCTTCGGAGTAAATCACAACCCAACTGAACACCTGTGGAAGATTTTGGACTGATGTGTTAGACAGCGCTCTCCAGCACTCAAACACTTGCTGAAGGAATATCTTTTAGAGGAACAGTGTTCCATCCCTCCATTGCAGTTCCACAGACTTCAATCTATGCCAAAGTGCAATTAAGCTGTTCTGGTGGCAGCAACTCCCTATTAAGGCACTTTAGATTGGTTTGTTCTTTCTTTGTCACCTGTCTGTATGTTGCCCAATAAAAGAAGAACCATACTAATGTGATGTGCAATTGTTTTTTTTTTTTTATTATTTATTTATTATGGTTGTCAATCAAACTGGCTTGACTTTTTAATGACTCTTGTACATTTGATGTCAAAGTGTATTGTATCACTTGTTTTTCACGTATCTGCTTTCTGCAGTCTGCACTTTTGTTTGATCATGCAGGTGCAGCACTTTAAATTGCACTTCAAACACATATTATGAAATAAAATTGTTTTTATCCAGCTTTACTGCTTTCTTTCTCAGCAAAGTGCAACGCAACAAATGCAGCATGACTCATTTCCCACCTTTCACATGACTTCCAAGGAAGGCTGCTCGCATGGTGCACTGGGTGCGTTTGATACATTAAACAGCAAGTGAAGTCGCCAGTATGTCCTGTGTGTTTATTAATGTAACACTCTGAAATCTGATGCCAGCCACCTACTGTGCCCTCCAAAACTACCAGGACAGTGAAGTCAGTACTGTAGATTTTGTTGCAAATTTACTAGCAAGGTGTCAAAGTCAAATCCAGTACATTTGTGTAGCTCTTTATTTTGTTTAGCTCTTTTTACAGCAGGCATTGTCCTGTTAGAAATCCGAGGGTCGGATACAAAGCTCTTAAGACAGTCATAAACCACTGGGACATACCTTCTTCATAACTGCATAGCTACAACATATGCAGGCAACATATGGTCACAGTCTTATCTGTGAGCATGACTGTAGTAAAGTTTAAGACCACATCAGAGTAGTTCTGGTAGGATAACAGCAGGAAATATTTGTGATCTCCTAACATCATGAAGACAGCGCTCCTGCTTATTCTAAACTGGACTGAAATCAACTGAAAAGCCAGCAAAACTCATAGAAGATGAGCCGACAATAATGCTGACTTTGCTTCATAGCAGTAAAAAGAATATGATACAGATGTTTACATGTACAGTTTGTTTTTGTATATCACCGTGTAAAAGGTGTAAAATAAATCAAATAACTTCCTCCTTCTCAACTCATACAAAACAGAGGTTCTTCTTCTTGGTCCAAAAGCTGTTAGAAACAAACTGTCTAATTTAGCGGTTAAGCTTAATTTCTCAGTTGAATCAGATACATCTGTAAAAATTCTTGGTGTCACAGTAGATCCTGATCTGTCCTTCGATGCACATATAACCAATATTACTAGATATTACTACAATATTGTTAAATTAAGAAATAAACAGGATGCAGAAAAGCTAGTTCATGCATTTATTACCTCAAGGCTGGATTACTGTAATGCCCTGCTGTCTGGATGTTCCAGCAAAAGCCTCAACAAGCTTCAGCTAGTCCAGAACGCTGCAGTCAGAGTCCTCACAAGAACCAGAAAGTTTGACCATATCAGCCCAGTTTTATCAAACCTACACTGGTTGCCAGTTAAATTCCGCATTGAGTCTAAAATTCTTTCACTGACATATAAAGTTCTAAACTGCCTCACCTCTCAGTCCCTGAGTGAACTTCTCTTATTATGAACCATCACACCTACTTAGATCACAAGGTGCTGGCTTACTATTAGTACCTAGAATTAATAAAGCTACATCAGCGGGGAGAGCCTTTTCATACAAAGCCCCCAAGCTTTGGAATAAACTTCCAGTTAGTGTTCGGGACTCAGACACAGCCTCTGTCTTTAGGTCTAGGCTAAAAACGTACTTGTTTAGTCGAGCCTTTGGTAATTAGTTTTCCCTGTCAGATAAAAGGTGCAGATCTGGGGGTTCATGGACAGAGAGTATTATGGTAAACTGGGAGTGTTGGTACTGTCATCCCACTGCTCTCACGCATTCACTCAAGTTTGTTGACGGTGGAGCGGTGGGCTGCTGACACCTCAGGGAGCCCTCACGTCTCTGTTATCTTTGCTTCGCCTGCTCTTCCACCTTTTACGTATCATATACCAATGTTAAAACCTTATTCTCTGCTCATATTGCTCGTGCTATTGTTTTGCTATCCGTTGTCAACCAGAGGAGGATGGGTTCCCCTTCTGAGTCTTGGTTACTCTCAAGGTTTTTCATCTCGCTCTTTGTGAGTGTTTTCCTGTCACTGTCGCCATTGGCAACACTCATGGGGGCTTGGACTCAGATTCTCTGTAAAGCTGCTTTGTGACAACGGCTGCTGTAAAAAGTGCTACATAAATAAACTTTGACTTTTCAAAGAACACAGTTATCAGAGCCATTAAGAGGCAGTGATTAACACACAATGCACTACCAGAACACAATTTATCATAAACAATAATGAAATAAAGAAAACTTGCCTGTGTCTGATCATTGTGATTTCACTGTACCTCACAGATGTTCTTGCCAGTTTTTTCCTTCATTTATGCATTTTATGAAGTTAAACAAACAATCAGCATCATGCAAATAATAATGTAAAATAAGCAGAAGTTCATTGTTTCACGCTAGGCCGAAGGCAATGAGGTACCACGTAGGCTTCCTCACTCACCTCCCATTGGCTGTGTGCATACTGAAACACTGTCTGTCCCTAGTACATACCGAACTAGTTCAAACTGTGGTCCCACAATAAGAAAAGAAAATAATATATATTAAAAACATTTAAGTATCCAGGCCTTAAATATTTGCAAGGATTATGTTATGATTTATTTAAACTAAAAGGTATCATTTATAGGCTAGTTTCTATTGGGAGGTGTCTGTCCCTCACCCCTAAATTTCAACTTGTGAAAATTATACTTACATTTTTTGTATATATATATATATATATATATATATATATATATATATATATATATATATATATTATGGCAAGCCAAACAGGAAATATTTAATGAACTTTGATATATATGGAATGAACATTGATATATATGGAATGAACTTTGATATGTATGGAATGAACATTGATATGTATGGAATGAACATTGATATGTATGGAATGAACTTTGATATATATACAATGAACTTTGATAGATATACAATGAACATTGATATATATGGAATGAACTTTGATATATATTGAATGAAAGTCGCTGTTGAAGGGTTGAGGATGGCCAAGAAAAACTGTACATCAATAAATGGGCATTAACAAACTCCAGGTGGAGCTTAAAGGAAGGGAATTCTGATAAAGTGACCAGTATCTATACACATTGATCCTGTGGACAGAGTGACCTGAGAGTGGCTGATATATGATGTGAAGACACAGATGGGTGGAGTTTCAATATATACATAATTTGACATGGTGCAGAAGAAGAGTCAGATGAGGCCATAACTTCTGTTTGAAAAATGCTGTTTTATTGAGAGCAAGGGAAAACAGTGCCACTTGAAAAGCAACTGAAAATTGAGGTAGGTCACTCCTAGCCCTACTCTTTCTTCTGATGGTCACCAAACACAAACACACTCTCCCTAACTCTGAGCTAGACACAAAATAACAGAGCAAACACATACACACACTGTAACTGAAGAACAACAACATAGCAACATTAAATAACAATGTAAACAGTCTGTTTGGGGTGGGGGTGGGGGGGGGGTGCAAGGCTACAACACACACAACCCCAAAAGTCCCTCTCTATCTAAACAAAACATTTTATGAATTATATTATATTTTATATATCATTTTTTCATCTCAATGTTCGATCCATGTACATCAAGGTTCATTCAATATATATAAATTTTCATTCAATATATATCAATGTTCACTCCATATATATCAATGTTCATTCCATATATATCAAACTTCATTGTATATATATCAAAGTTCATTCCATATATATCAAAGTTTATTCCATATATATCAATGTTCATTCCATATATATCAATGTTCATTCCATATTTATCTCAGTAGAACAAAGATTGATATATATGGAACGAACATTGATATATATTGAATGAACTTTGATATATATGGAATGAACTTTGATATATATACAATGAACTTTGATATATATGGAACGAACATTGATATATATGGAATGAACTTTGATATATATGGAATGAACTTTGATATATATACAATGAACTTTGATATATATGGAATGAACATTGATATATATACAATGAATTTTGATATATATGGAATGAATTTTGATATATATTGAATGAACATTGATATATATGGAATGAACTTTGATATATATACAATTAACTTTGATATATATGGAATGAATATTGATATATATGGAATGAATATTGATATATATACAATGAACTTTGATATATATGGAATGAATTTTGATATATTTTGAATGAACTTTGATATATATGGAATGAATATTGATATATATACAATGAACTTTGATATATATGGAATAAATATTGAATGAATAATATAATTCATAAAATGTTTTGTTTAGACAGAGAGGGACTTTTGGGGTTGTGTGTGTTGTAGCCTTGCACAAACAGACTGTTTACATTGTTATTTAATGTTGCTATGTTGTTGTTCTTCAGTTACAGTGTGTGTATGTGTTTGCTCTGTTATTTTGTGTCCAGCTCAGAGTTAGGGAGAGTGTGTTTGTGTTTGGTGACCATCAGAAGAAAGAGTAGGGCTAGGAGTGACCTACCTCAATTTTCAGTTGCTTTTCAAGTGGCACTGTTTTCCCTTGCTCTCAATAAAACAGCATTTTTCAAACAGAAGTTATGGCCTCATCTGACTCTTCTTCTGCACCATGTCAAATTATGTATATATTGAAACTCCACCCATCTGTGTCTTCACATCATATATCAGCCACTCTCAGGTCACTCTGTCCACAGGATCAATGTGTATAGATACTGGTCACTTTATCAGAATTCCCTTCCTTTAAGCTCCACCTGGAGTTTGTTAATGCCCATTTATTGATGTACAGTTTTTCTTGGCCATCCTCAACCCTTCAACAGCGACTTTCATTCAATATATATCAAAGTTCATTTTATATACATCAATGTTCATTGTATATATATCAAAATTCATTCCATATATATCAATGTTCATTAAATATTTCCTGTTTGGCTTGCCATAATATATATATATATATATATATATATATATATATATATATATATATATATATATA